CTATAACAACCAATTGTGCTATGTACTGAACCGCATTATAAGGATTACCATGTACAGAACAATGTTATATTAAGAACGTCACTATGGATGGAATCGGGATATAATGTAATATACTAAACTGCAGTATGGAAATTGTTAAATAATGGTGGTTTGAAAGGACATAAAGATTTATGACTAAGCATTACTTTGTTTTCTTTCAACCCATATTGTTTTACATGTATGATTTTGGTCATGCGGTCTAAAGTGGTATCACATTATGTCATTGATCACATTATAAGGAACTATGTTAGAGAGCTGTGCATTGTATATTATTAGCTAAAAAAATCTTATAGGTCCTAATCTTGAATGGATAGTTTTGTCAGCATTGGGGTTTTCACTATGCTTCTCATGATGTTCAGTTGGTCATGAATAAAATGTGTCCACTTGCACATCAATGTGGCTGTCATCTTGGAAATCTTGACATCACTACTCCATCTGAATGGATAATCGTATAATGTTGATAACAGGGGTTGTTAACTAATTGTCTCTTTACAATGTCTAATAATAATTAATATCATTTATCCAGGGTAACATAACTAGCTAACAGCTAGTTTACATTATAGCACTGCAATTTAAACAAATACACTTGTAATTAGTGAACGTCTTTAATATTAACATTTACTACATACTACTGTTCAAATACAAATTGTACAAAGGTTAGCATACTGTTATCACAAAGATTTATCACAGTTGTTATTTACATATGTTATGAAGTGATAAAAAAGGATTGCTCATTAAAATGGCTGCAGAGGTATAGTTTCTTAAAAGCTGAAACATTAGGCACTCTTTGATATGCTGCCAACTGTACCATAATATTAAAGCATAAGTAAAAGATTTTTTAAAAGACTGAATAAACTTTTCTTATATGAATTGCAGTTTGCAATTGACCTTGTACTATGTTCATTACAAACTTTGAACACGAAAATATTCTGGTGCTAAATTATTCAAGACTGAAAGTAAAAATGGCTTTTCTAATAATGATCCTTAAGTGGCATCTGTCTAAAGGTTTGATGATTTATGTCTTAAGACTTACATGATATATAAAATTGCCTGAGTTCTCTTTCCTTTATGGGGAATAGCTGATCTGACAATGCTTTTATTGCCGCCACTCCATCAGAATGAAAAGTTCTGTCATGATGGCTTCTTGTGATGTCTAATTTGTCTTACATGTCTATCTGCACAAAAATACACACACACCAAATTTATATACTTATATTGCTAATGGCTGTAAATGAATGTAGAAACATTTATCTGCAAAAAATAAGAGCATAGAATAAAAACTAATACTGTTATACAACTTTATTCTGACTAGCCACAATGGTTCATGGGTTAATGTTCTACTTGAGATCAAAGGTTCAATTCCTCAGTCAGATCTGTTTGGATCAGGTAGCATGGTATGTCCTTGGACAAGGCATTAAATGCCTTGGGATGATATAACTTTTGAAGTGTTGTTGTGCTGTAAACTTGGAAAAAGAAGCAAATTTATTAAAGTAAGGATTAAAACAACCTCTGAACTGTTCTGTACATCCAAATTTTAAAGAGCTTTTAAGTGGAACTGCTCCGGTGGCCTAGTGGTTAGAGAGTCCACCTCAGATGTGGAGGTCGTGGGTTTGAACTCTGGCTGAATCATACCAAAGACTTACTAAAATGGTACTAACAGCTACCTCACTTGGCGCTTAGCTTTAAGAGGTTAGTGTTAGGATAATGACTGGGTGGGACATCATGCGGTATGTTAGACATCACTATAAACTGTCACACTGCAGGCATCAAAGTGATATGACTAAAAAAATTTTAAAGCTGTAAAAATCTAAAACACATGCTTTTCAGTGGTGTTATGGCACTTGACTCTTCTTACCATAATATGTATCCTTCAAAGTGATGAAATTCTAGAAAACCAAACAAAACTTTTTGGAAAAAAAATCTAGTATAAGTTGTGTTCCGTTTACATATTATATATGATATGCTGTGATCACACATGTGACAGAACCTTCTGTTTTCTCACATGACCTATTTAAGAATCAAAGCTAATATTTCTTGCTACACTTTGCATAGCATAATAGACTTGGTAACATTGTTTAACTTGAGCATTCCATTTTGTATGCGTACAGTTTTTCTTACTATTATACCTTTAATGAATGCCAGACCATTTTTCCATGCTATCACTCGACATGGCATTGCTACTCCTCTTAAACTATTTGGAAGATTGCAATGAAACTTTACACACACACACACACACACACACACATCTCAAGGTCTAGTTGGTCTTAAATGATAATGGTTCCTATGGGATATATATACACACACACGTACACACAACGGTCGATTTTTTAGTGGTGGAGGCAAATCACCCACTTTTTTTCAGGTTTGAACCAGTATTATATAACCCCACATTCCGTAAGAATCGACACTTTCGCAGGTTTCAATCGCAGTGTCTTTATAATCACTGTAATTCTTCAGCTATTTTTTTTTATTCTTCTTCTACATGTCTTATCAGTCTCCACTAATGTGTTGAGAAAAAATTTTGATTGTTATTATATGTACAAACTACTTCAAGGCACTGATGACTGGCATCATCAAAGACATGCAGAAAGTCAAGGCCAGACTGCATCATTAATAAAACTAAATGTTTTATTTTAAACCTAAGGTTGACTCGACATTATCGGTAAGATAAAAACGTAAGCTATATAAGTGGAAGGGGTCTATTTACCCCACCATTGGTTATCTCATTCATGCATCGTAGAGAATATTATGACATATTATGTCGTTGTGAATGGGAAATATCACGTGACTTTAAAGATGAAAACGGAACTTCAGAAGGAAATGCGGCGCATTTCAAATTAAAAAAAAAAGCAACAATCAACTTAACTTACTTAACTGAAGAAATGTGGACTTGAAGTAATACAAAGGAAGAACGGGAAAAAACGGTGCTTTCGATCATATACAGCCTTTTGTAACATGGAGGGCATGTAGAAGAGATGAAAGCGTGAGGGGTTCATTTTGCACAGTTTCAGTTTATGAACAGAAAAGTTAGACTTTGTATTTGCGTTATGCCTCTTTCAGATCATACATCATCTTATAGATAATGAATTGTATTTTCAGATTAACAATGTATCAATAAAATATACTATGTTATAGCTGTTATTTGCTCACCTGATCACTAAGCTTTTAATGAGGAACTATTTTCAAACGACACTTGTTCTGAAACTGCCTAGGCAGTCGCTGAAAGCACGATCCTCTTTCAAGTTAGTACAAATCATGAATTTTGGTTGTCACGGCAAGGAAAAGAAACACTTTAAAAAAATCAAACTTAACCTGCCGGTCAGATTTCGAAATAATTTTGGAGACTGATGTTCAAGTGACCATCTATCAGGTTTCTTGAAACCTTGTCGATTCGTCAAGAAAACATGGTTGCCAGGAATAGGCTTGTTTTCCTTACATACACGTATATGCACAACTTTAAAAATTTCTCTGAAACTACTTGATCGAATTCAAGATAATTTCTCAGAATGAATGTTTGTGTGATCCTCTGTCAAGTTTGTTCAAACCAACTTGATTCGGTGATAAACATGGCCATCAGTTGTGGACTGTTGTTCATTTATGTTTATACAGAAAATAACTATCGACAGATGCCGCCTGTATCGAAACAGGCTCAAAATGTTATTATGAAAGTCTCCGCTTCTTGTTGGAAAGGTATTGCATTGGGTCAAAAACTAGGTCATTTTTTGGTCAAATGGAAGAAAATCCTTGTTACTAGAACAGAGGTAACATTTATTTTTTTTTATTTTCATCGGTGGTGGCTTAGTTACCTTCGCACTTTAAACATTAAATTTTGGCGAGCCATATGGGTTAAATTATTATTATTGATTATATGACGAGTAAGTTAAATTTATGACAATTACATTGTAATAAAAAAACCTGTTGTCTTATGAATGTACATTTTATGAATCAAATATATTGACTTTGTAGCTTCCATGGATCAGTGGTAGTTATATTTAAGAATGATGTTTGTTTTCGTCGTCACATGTAAGGATATGCACTATAAGTAACTTGAATTATTTATCTATTATATCATATGTAGCCATATATGACCATGAGAGTAAATTTGACTTCAGTGATATTCGGTTTACCTGACTGGTGCAATGATATGTACAGAACATATTTAGCTACAAAGATATAAGGATTTTTAAAGAATATAGAACCTAATTATTATTATTTTAATATCTAAAAGGGGCTGGCGTTGTTCCGTGGATAGCGCGGTGGACTTGAAACCGGTCGATCCGAATTGAAGCCTCTCATGTACCACAGATTCGTCGGTGTGTTTTTGAGCAAGACACTTTTGCTTAGTCTCGTCTGTCAGATTGGACGTAAACCCGACGGTCTGTCCACCATAGGTATATGTGAGTGATTAAGATCTTTAACGTAGCTTTAACAATTTTTAAGTAATATCGCTACTATGTCTGCAAAGTGGCAGTTTAAAGTGATGTCTAGCACTTGGGCATCGTGCAGCAAACATGTAGCATGAGGTCCCTCCCAGTCACATTATCCTGACACCAGGTCGACCAGTCCTAAAACTAACCCTCAATGCTGAGCGCCTAGCGAGGCAGCTGTTAGTACCATTTTTAGAAGTCATTGGTACCAATCGGCCGGGGTTTGAACGCACGACCTCCCGCATCCGGGATGGACTCTCTAACCACTAGGCCACCGGAGTGGTATATCCACCATAGAAATCGATTCGATAATAAGAGTAGGGCAGGTTCCCGGTATCCTATATATCCTCACGATTTCCCGGGGAGGCTCTAAATAACCTAATGTGTTGATGAGCAGTTAAACAGCATTCAGCACCAACTTCAATATCTAAGATTTATCTACTGTATCTGGATATAGAAAATCAGTGTTATACTAGAAGTAAAATTCCATACAACTATTTTCAGAAGTGTATTAACAGCTATCCCGCAATAGATCACTCAGGTGGTCGAATGGTTAGAGCGTCAGCATTGGACGCTGGAGGTAGCTGGTTCGAATCCCGGCCGAGTCATACCAAATACTCATAAAAATGGTATTTAAAGCTGTCTCGCTTGGCTCTCAGCATTAAGAGGTTAGTGTTTGGGCTAGTTGACCTGATGTCAGGATAACGTGACTGGGTTGGACATGATGCTACATCACATTGAGGCCCTATTTAGGGGAATGTAACATTTTGACAAACGATTGCCTTTAGGGAGTACTGTATCAAGTCTTGAAGTAATGCATTGGAGAATCATGGTTAATTTTAGCTGTGTTCAAAAATATAAACATTGCTGCTGAATTAAAGTATGTCGAAGAAGTTACCTTTAACTTGCAACTGCTATTAACGTTTATTCACAACAGGCAAATGGGCCTGAGTAGATCTTGGTGGAAATGGCTGTTTCTTACACCAAATTGATTTTGTTTTTCATATACACCAGTGAATTTGTTTCTTAGATCCATCTAAATCATTCTATAACTGTTCATGATAATTTACTTAAGTACGCGTAAATATAAGATTAATACAGACCTCTCTTAATTAAAGTGGTGTATCAGACTTCTGGGGTTACAATTGGTAAAACATAAAAGCTATGAAATGACAAATGTAAACCATGAAATGATGCAACGATATAGATGTAACATTAAGTTACCTATAATATAGAGCATTAATTTTAATAACTAATAATTCTAAATTACAACATTTCTTATCAGTCCATAGATGAAACTATATGTTTTAATTAGCTGTCGGTCGGAGTACTACGGCGATATCGTAACGCGATAGCTGTGCAATACATACCGCCGATCTTAAAACAATTAACTCTGGCGCATTACCATAGTTACGAAATACCCTTTTCTGGTCTTTTATTTAATATGCTCGGTGCAATTGTCTTTTTTGGTGGTTTATGGCTCATTTTAGTCTTTTCTCAATTTGATATAGTAATAATGTATTTGAACAACTTCCAACATAATCCAGATGTACTCCCTTTAAATGAAAATACTTGTATAGGCCCATTAAAGGTATCTTGTTTTGTTCCAGGCAATATATATATATATATATATATATATATATATATATATATATATATATATATATATATATATATATATATATATATATATATATATATATATATATATAGTTTTTTGCGGAGTACTTGACTAAATGTGTAGAGCTGGGCCGATTCTAGAAAAACAGCAGACATCGTACTTTGGTTGTTTACTAAATTTGTGGCGAGTCATGCTTGTCCCAACTTGCTGATTACTTGCTGAGAAAGGGAGTTTTGTAACAATATCAGTGATAGATTATGTAAATACATGGTGATCGCATTTAGAATGGCTACAGTGTCGTCCCCTAACTGGGGACAATACAAATATGTTTAACCGGACTTTGTGCAACCTGTTGTCTAGCTATGTTAATGAGGGACAAAACGCCTGTGAAGACAAATACCATATGTCCTGTTCGCTTACAGGAGGCACATGCCTAGGGCCACGCACAGCAGGGTCCCCGCGACAGCCCGAAAACAAAATTTTGGTGTCGGTTTCTTTAGCAGTTTATTGTTTGTGCCTAGGGCCCCCAAACTTCTTAAAACGGCTCTGGAAGGCGCATAACTCTTGTAAGCATGAGCATTATTGATAATTCAAGAAAGGAGCTCAGATGTTGGCTGCCAAATTTGGTTACAATTTGGTCGAAAATTAAAATACTAGGTAAACTACTAGAATTTCAAACATAGTTTGACAGCTCTGGTTAATATAAATGGATATTACTGATTAAAGATACGGACATAGGTGCTGTTAAAATACAAGCTGTGGTCAAGCTTGTTTGATTACGCTTGAACGTATTATGAAACGTCTACAGTGCACACAAGTTAAAAAGACTGACGGACGGACGGACAACAGGCCATCATGACAAACTCACGTGCCCATTTGAGCAGTTACACAGATGAGCTAAAAAAAATTAACACGAGCGCCGCCTAGCGGGACAGTATATACGCGTCAGCGTCACGATGTTAGTAACATGTGTACCAATTTGGCGCTGAAAGTTGTGTCCGACACATCGTGTGAATAACATTTGTACCAATTATAATTGGAATATACCAACCGTTACAGCCAGGGCACTAATTTGAGAAAGACAGACAGATGAACAGACAGAGAAGCCATCTTGTAATACGACAGTTATGCTTTAAAGCTACATAATTAATTTATTCAGGTAATCTGAATACACATCCTATCTAATTCAATGATTGTTAGCAAGAAAAATACATCATTATATTATATACAAATATACATTGACTGGGAATGAAAATAACAGAGTTAGTGACCGAGTGGATAACATTACAAAATTGAAGCCATCAAGATGCTGGTCCAATTACCATGTATGCCTATCAACTCACTAGGAGATGACTTTTAAGATCCTTATCTGTATGACAAAAATTATCCTCGTTCGTCCGAAGAATAATCGACTGCGAGCTCGTGCTGTTTCGCTAAGCATATGCTAAAACCTATAAAAGACATTGGCTGAAAAAAAAACGTGGCTTTTTATTTTAGTAGCTGTCATTTTTTGTGCTAAAGCACATCGTTTGAAAGCTTTGTTTATATATATTTTTTTAAAAATTGATTGCGAAACAAGTTCTTACAGTTTATATCAAACATTCTCGCTAGTTTCATGGATGAAGCCAATACTATGTGGATGAATTGTCTAGCTTGAGGATAAAATATCATTGCCACAGCAATGATCGATCACATGACCTCTCGATCTAGTGTCACGCAAACGACATCACAACAGACGTCCGCCACACCCACACAGACGTTGCTTTATCGCAAGCAAATTTCAGACACTTCATCATGAACAGCAATTGGGGGGGGGTATTTCACACTGGTTCTTTTTTTTATCTGCAAAGGGTCACAGTATTTATGTTTTCATGACAAAATTAGTTTCTTCAGTACGAATTATGATCGTAAGCGGTGCTGTCATTTTTCTATATAAAATGTCGACAGTGTGTGTGTGTGTGTCTGTGTGTGTGCTTCAGTCTATCAGTAGGCCTATCATTTTGTATTTGTGAGGGGTCATAGAATGAGAGGCTTTTATAAAAAAAAGTATTTTTAGTACTAATTATAACCTGGGGTGATCCTTTTTCTATATATAATTTTGACTGGGGGAGAGGGTACTATTCTATGGGGTTCGATTTACTTTATTACACTGGATCTAGAGGTAAACAAGTGAATGTTTCCTACAACAATCCATCAAATGAATCTAATCTGTACGACGTAAAATAATCACGAAATATTATTTTGAAAACAACATTATTTTGTCTTTTTATTTGATACATAATCCTATAATATCCTTTTTTGATGTTAGAGATCCAGGTACTTTTCCAACCAAGATAAAAAGAACTGAAAGCAGTATACAATTATGTTACTCGTAAATACGGATTAATCATTGGCCACATTAGAAATTCTGAATGGATACAGTGTAATCATTGGTCACAGTAGCAGTTCTGGTTGGATACAGAGTAATCATTGGTCACAGTAGCAATTCTGGTTGGATACAGAGTAATCATTGGTCACAGTAGCAGTTCTGGTTGGATACAGAGTAATCATTGGTCACAGTAGCAGTTCTAATTGGACACAGTAATCATTGGCTACAGTAACAGTTCTAGTTGGATACAGAGTAATCATTGGCCACAGTAGCGGTTCTGATTGGATGTAGATTAATCATTGGTCACAGTAGCAGTTCTGATTGGATGTAGATTAATCATTGGCCACATTAGCAATTATGAATGGATACAGTGTAATTATTGGCCACAGTAACAGTTCTGGTTGGATACAGAGTAATCATTGGTCACAGTAGCAATTCTGAATGGATACAGAGTAATCATTGGCTACAGTAGCAGTTCTGATTGGATACAGAGTAATCATTGGTCACAGTAGCAATTCTGATTGGATACAGAATAATCATTGGTCACAGTAGCAGTTCTCATTGGATACAGTAATCATTGGTCACAGTAGCGGTTCTGATTGAATGTCGATTAATCATTGGCCACATTAATAATTCTGAATGGATACAGTGTAATCATTGGTCACAGCAGCAGTTCTGATTGGATGTAGATTAATCATCGGCCACATTAGCAATTCTGAATGGATATAAAGTAATCATTGGCCACACTAACAGTTCTGGTTGGATACAGAGTAATCATTGGTCACAGTAGCAGTTCTGGTTGGATACAGAGTAATCATTGGTCACAGTAGCAGTTCTGGTTGGATACAGAGTAATCATTGGTCACAGTAGCAGTTCTGATTGGATACAGAGTAATCATTGGTCACAGTAGCAGTTCTGATTGGATACAGAGTAATCATTGGTCACAGTAGCAGTTCTGATTGGATACAGAGTAATCATTGGTCACAGTAGCAGTTCTAATTGGACACAGTAATCATTGGCTACAGTAACAGTTCTGGTTGGATACAGAGTAATCATTGGCCACAGTAGCAGTTCTGATTGGATGTAGATTAATCATTGGCTACAGTAGCAGTTCTGATTGGATGTAGATTAATCATTGGCCACAGTAGCAATTCTGAATGGATACAGAGTAATCATTGGCTACAGTAGCAGTTCTAATTGAATACAGGGTAATCATTGGTCACAGTAGCAATTCTTATTGGATACAGAATAATCATTGGTCACAGTAGCAGTTCTGATTGGATACAGAGTAATCATTGGTCACATTAGCGGTTTTGATTGAATGTCGATTAATCATTGGCCACATTAGCAATTCTGAATGGATACAGTGTAATCATTGGTCACAGTAGCAGTTCTGATTGGATGTAGATTAATCATCGGCCACATTAGCAATTCTGAATGGATACAGAGTAATCATTGGCCACAGTAACAGTTCTGGTTGGATACAGAGTAATCATTGGCTACAGTAGAAGTTCTGGTTGAATACAGAGTAATCATTAGTCACAGTAGCAATTCTGAATAGATACAGTATAATCATTGGCCACAGTAGCAGTTCTGATTGGATGGAGACTAATCGTTGC